ATTTTCTTAAATATGATGTTTAAAAATATAAAATGACTGGTATTGTAGGTCTTACTATATAGTCCCATAATTATGTTCCTACTGATCATCTCTGTGTCTTTATAAAGCCTTCATTTTACCTCTGTTCCCAAGAGAAGTCTAACAGAGAATGGCATATAACTTTTTTTTCACCCAAATTTAGGAGAAAGGAAAATAAAGCAGGATAGTAAAATTATTTATAACATCGGTGGCCAATAGGGAAATCAACAATTTTTTTAAACTGATAAGAAAACAGGAGGAAAGAAACATTTTAAATACCACAAATCATTACTTTATTATAATTCTCCCTCTGAAATAGAAGAGTCCCATTTCCTGTGCATAATTGTATGATGATTAAAATCTAGCAATAGCCCTGTGTTGAATTTAAGAAAAAATTCGCTAACTTGAACTCACAGAAATCAACTTTAGCTACAATGGTGTTTATATCGTACATTAGCCTTAGCTATTTTGAACTTTTGTATCCTTTGTAACTGAAACTGCTATCTATTTACATTGTTCTACTTGCAGATTTTTAAGACTATGTACTAAGATGATTTGCCTTCAAAAAATTAAAGATGTAGCTGAATGCTAATACAGGAAGAATGATATTCAAAATATCTAACAACCTGTATGTCGAAGACATAGGCTGTAAATAAGGAGGAAAGTTCTGGGTGCCCTCTGCTGTGCCACTGACTAGCTTCTTAGTACCCGGATCCTGGGTATAAGTGGGTAGTGGGCCATTCAGGTTAGAAAGGAGACCCTTGTGCAACCAGGCACTCGGGATGTTTGGGTAGTGGCTATTTACTAACCAGTTCAAAAGTATTTTAACACTGGTGTGTCTATCCTAGTGCACGCTGGCTAAATAGCAGCCCAGCTTATAAGAACATATTCAAAAACTTTTATAGGAGCTGGAAAACTTAATTTAAACCAGAAATTATGACATGAATATACATTTATGCTATAACTTTTGTGTGTTGGAAATTCATACTTATTTTAATTTAT